TTACCAAAATGCATAAGATCAATTTTGATGATGGTGATGCTCAAAATTTTGAGAGAAAAGATAGAGGAAATCCTTGGGAGCAAAGTGAGTGAAAGTGTTTGATGGGGTGTGTGGTGTCTCGGGCGAAAGTATAAGAGGGAGGGGAAAAAAGAGCTTGGTTTCATGGGGGGTAATGGTGGGTGTTGCATGGAGGCATGGAGGTTAGTCACATGCATTGCTTAGCTGTCTTAAGGTTAATAGAGGGAAAAGCATTGAGGTGGAAAGATTTTTGGTTTTGTTTATTTATTAATTTTTTTACTCATGCCCTAATTAAAACCGTATAGGGTTTTCGGCCACAGTGGGCTAAATTCATGGGCTTTTAGGTTTTGGCTTGGCCCATTAAGAGGTTTTCAGTCCATTAAAGCCCAAAGGAAGAAGGGTTTTCGGTTTGGAGTGTGTTTGGGCTTTTGGGTTTAATTGGGTTCGATAAAAGGGTGTTCGGTCCAATAAGGCCCAAAGAAAAGTTTTCGGCCCAATAAGGCCCAAGGAAGAGTTTTCGGCCCAACATTGATTTTTTTAACTATTGGATCCATCTTGGGCTTACGAGAGGCTATTTCAACTTGATTCCTAAATGTATGCACATATGATTTCCTTTAACATTGTAGTTTAAATTTCACTAATTAGATGCAACAAGGTTACATAGAGGAAATCATTGTGTACAAGCTTCACAATCTAAGCCCTAAATTGCTAGTTGTGATAGTAGGGCGCTCTATATTTTGAGTGAGGTAATTAATAGTATGGAAGTGACTTGGAGAAGTCGAGACCGTTCTTGAGGAAGGTATAGATAGGTGTGGAAGATAGTATTAAGATCATACTACTAAAAACACAAGATCTATCCCCGAGACAAGGAAGGCCTTGATGATTTCAAGAAACTTCGGAAATATGAACCTCTTTGTGCTTGTATTGATTATTTATGTATTGTGTTTCAACATGGTGATGACATGTGGTGGACCAGGAGGTTTAGGATCGGGATTTGGTTCGGGCTTAGGCACCTAACCAATTGACAAGGGACTATGCGAGTTCATCACATCCGAGACTACGAGAGGTATCCTTGATGCGTCCCCGATGATGTTCGGGTCGATCAAGGAGGGTATCATTGAGTTGATGGAGGAGCGCTTCCAGACCTTCAGAGTCAAGTTAGTTGTCAGGTATTATGGAGCCCGCACGCTCTCCTTTAAGGATTTTAAGGGTTGTAGGGCACCATAGTTCTTTGGGGTAAAGGACCCTATTGCCACCAGACGACAAATAACAGACATGGAGGGTACCCAGATGTCTGACTTATGCCCCAATGGGTCAAATGTGAGTTTTGATGCATGCTATCTGAGGGAGCAAGCCTAAGACTGGTGGGATGATGTTGGTTATGGTTTGGGATCACCAGCCATTAAGGCCATGGCACGGTCGAACTTTGTGACCTGGTTCCGAGCAAAGTTTTCACCGGCTGCTGAGGTACAACAGCTGGCGAGGATGTTCTAGGATATGCGGTAGACATCTAACACCGTGGTGAAGATCAGCACCAGGTTCCGAGAGAGAGCTTTATTGGTACCCAATCTCTATAGACGAGGAAATGAAGAAGACACGGTACCACGACATGTTGAGATCAGATATCAGGGAGTTTGTTAGTTATTCAGCTTGTCCGACATTGGATGACATGATATATAGGGCCCTTAAGCGGGAAATCGATTTGTAGCACTTCGGAAAGTGGAAAGTAGAGCACGTGCAGACGACTAGGGGTTCAACAAAGAAACCCAAAGTAGAACTGGTCACAAAAGTCAATGGTCAAACTTGGTCAAGGTCAACACCATGTCGTGGCCCTCCTTAGCCACATTGTGGCCCTCTTTGGCCATGTCGTGGGGTCATAAGGTCAAATAGTCAATATGCAGGACATTGACACACCATGGTCCTTCCTGGCCACACCGTGGCAATGCCAGAATAAGGCAGTCAAACTTTTTGACTTCGCGCACGTTGTGGCTGCTGGAAAATCACCATTTTTTTCTCATTAAGAGCTTAATCCTTCCATATCTAAGCTCATACTTCCATATCTACTTCTCCATACTTAATGGATAAAGTTTCCAACTTTATCCATTAGGACCTCACCATAAGACAAGATCTTAAACCCTAAGTCCATTAAGCTCTTAATATGATCAAAACTTAATCATGAGGCTAAGAACTCTCAAGCTAAAACCTTTTTTCATTAGCTCAGAAGTTCATGACCAAGTAAGCACCACATCAACCTTTGGACTTCCTCAAACTCGAAGATCACTCAAGAATGGGACCAAAAAACATCCAAAAATGGGCTTATACTTAAAACAATAAGAATAAAGGTCAATGTATGAACTTTTTACCTCCAATAACTCAAAAATGTGAAGAAGATCTTGTATCCAAGCTTGCTCCTTGCTTCCTTGCACCAAAATGAACTACCATCTTCTTCAAGTTTCACCAAATGAAGCAAACAACCTCAAGGTAGAGCCATCAAGCTCAAAATTAAGGAAATGAGTCTAGGGTTTTAGAATGGGGATATAAAGGCTGAACGAAATGACCTAGAATGGGAGTTAAGGGGCTTAAGTATGGGAGGAACCCTAAAAATACATGGGCTTGGGCTGCTACAGCTGGCACGCCATGGTCATCCATTGTCACGTCGTGGCAACCCTCTAAAACATGTGTACATGAAATTAGTTGATATTTTATGTTTTTTTCTACAATTAAAATTATGTTTGAGATGTTTTCATAAACAATGTAAAAAATGTTGAGACTTTACTAAAATTATCACATTTATATTTGCTAATCAGCGTGCTATATGTAAGTAATGTTTATATATATATATATATATATATATATATATATATATATATATATATATATATATATATATATATATATATATATATATATTAGATTTTTTAGGATAATTTAAATTAATAATTTTTCCTCTTATTTTACTCAATATGTATAGTAGACAAATTGTTAGATTGGTAAAGATTGATTTTTAACCGTGACTGTAAGTGTAAACAAAAACTAACTATTTCTCATAAGCTTTAAATTTTTAGTTTGTTGAAAACTTTTGTATCTATAAAATATGCATCTTGGAATAATAAATTTAAAGAACCGATTATTGTTACGGTGAAAACAAATTATATGAAATCATAGACTTCAGAATTAAATAATATATAATGAAAATTTATCTCAAATACAATTCAAGTGTATTGGTATTAAAAGTTTTATAACACATTAAAGAAACGTTTTTTAGTTTTTAGGTTTTTTTTTAATTATTTTTTTTCCTTACAAACTAATGTATATCCTGCAAACTTTAATTCGTGATACTTAAAGAAAAAATATTAATACAATAACAATATTTTTCCTCTTTAAGTCATTTGTGTGAAGAGACAAAAATTATATCCAAACCAAAGGTTAAGTCTTTTACTTAGGAAAAAACATTATATTTTAGTTTTGACTTTTTCTTTTTATGTTTTTTTAGGGCAAAATATACATATTGAAAGTCTTCAAAGCTAACTTTCCGTTTTTGTTAGGGGATATATACAGTAAAATTCCAATATTTTCATCGATTTGACAAAAAGTCCTAAACTTTATTTTTTTGACAGTAAAATCCAAATCACGGGAAGTTTTTGACACTTTTACTTTTTTTTTCCCGGTTAGCCGGTAATTAAGATTTTTTTGTCAACAAAATAAAGTTTAAGACTTTCTTGTCAAATCGTCAATTAGGACTTTATTGTCAAAAAAATAAAGTTTAGGACTTTTTTGTCAAATCGTTGAAAATATTGGGACTTTAGTGTATATATAATTTTTTTTGGTTAAAAATTTCATGGTATGATACTCTTTAAGCATAAAAGTTATTGAAACATTTTCTAATCAGCTAGATCCTATTGAAATCCTTTACATTTGCTTCTTGTTAAATCGGTTTTTTAATCTCAACAAACCGACATTGAAAAAAATTGAGATAATCAAGAAAGAAAGAAAGAACCAGAGTTGTGTTGGTTTTTTGCAGTCTAAAAAATAGAGAAATAAGAAACCGAAAAAAAACAAAATTGCCCTTCTTTCCCTTCTCCACATTCACACACTTTTGACTAGGCATGTGTTGTTTGTGTTTGTATAAAACTAAGGCAATTTCGTTTTTTTAGGTTTCTGATTTCTCCATTTTTGAGACTGCAAAAAGCCAAAACAATTATGGTTCTTTCCTTCTTTCTTGATTATCTCAATTTTTTTCAATGTCGGTTTGTTGAGATTAAAAAAACGATTTAACAAGAAGCAAATGTAAAGGATTTCAATAGGATCTAGCTGATTAAAGAAGGTTTCAATAACTCTTATGCTTAAAAAGTATCATACTATTAAATTTCTAACCCCCCAAAAAAATTATATATACACTAAAGTCCTAATATTTTCAACGATTTGAGAAAAAAGTTTTAAACTTTATTTTTTTTACTGTAAAGTTTTAATTGACGATTTGACAAAAAAGTCGTAAACTTTATTTTTTTGACAAAAAAATCATAATTACCGGCTAACCGGGAAAAAATGGTAAAAATGTCAAAAACCGCTGGTAATTTGAACTTTACTGTCAAAAAAATAAAGTTTAGGATTTTCTTGTCAAATCGATGAAAATATTGGAATTTTACTGTATATATCTCTTTTGTTAGGGACGAAATTAAAAATCTTACTTTTTGTTTTTTGTTTTTATTTTTTAAAACATAACAAATAATATAATTTTAACGATCATACAATGCAGCTGTTGGTATGTGGTTTTTACAAATAATAAGATGTGACATATAATTCCAAACCACATTGCACCGCAAATACTATATTTTTACAAACTAAAAGGTTACGCCGTCTGTTATTTGTTAGATTTTTAAGTATTTAACTTTCAGTTTTTTTCGATTTGATAATTCGGTTTTTGTTAATTCCTAACCATATTTTAAAAAAAAGATTAAATATCTTTTTATTTTTGTTTCTATAAATATTTTTATATAATTAAATGATGATATATCATATTATTATATTAAGCATTATGTTATTATTTAATTGGATTGGAGAGAAATAAAAAATAGAAAGACACGACGTTAGTCTGGGTAAAGGACCCAAGTTGGTCAATTCAATTTTGGTCGACCACAGGGTTGTGGCAAATAGGCCGTGATAGGTCTGGATTTCTTTCTTGTTGGCGAAACTATTTTCTGGATCAGCTGAAATCCTCCATCGTTGATCCATCTCTCTCTCTTTCTCTCAAATACTCAAAGCAAGTGATTGATCTCAATCCTCGGGTAAGCTGTTCTTATTATCCGACCTAATTATTAGCTCTACGAATCATTGCTTTTCCCCAAGTTTAGAGGTGCTTTTAAATTGTTAGCGATTAAGAATTGTGAATGGAATCCTTCCGTTCTTTCGGTACTTTCGTTTCGTATTGTGAACAAACTATTTCAATCTGGTGTGTTCAGCTTGAAATAGGTTAATTAGTAGTTAATACTCTATATTGTATAGTTTGTTTCTGCTGCTGTCTGTCTCTATAAGCACTACAATTAAGTCACCATACGAATCGCAATAAGATGTTGCTTTTTGATCATGATCTGTCACTTCGTTACTGTTTTCATTTTGAATGCAATCAAAGAAGGTAAGTAAGTGTAAACAACAATTAGAAATATAACCAGCTTTGCAAAGAGGGATGAAATGGTTGATGCATCTCATGATTCTAATGGAAAACGATAATCATGTATTGATGACATCATTAGAAGCATCCTGGGAGGGCATTCCACCATCAAGTTAAATCACAATCATGATAATGATTGTTTAGTAGCTAGTAAGTTAATTCTTGTCTATTTTTGGGTTTTACTGTCCAATCTGGAACTTTATTTGACATCTATACGATCTGTTTTCGTATTTACTTCATAATAAAAACATCATCTGCTAAAAAAGATGCATTCTTCATACACAGGCATATGCACATTAAGAAAAGTTGATGATGTACACACTTTAACACCATAGCATTAATCAACAATGATGTTTTTGGAAAGCAGTTTGATCTGAGTACTTGTTTTTTGATTAATTTGAAGTGAAGGTGACATGGCATCTAGGAGGAACATCAATTACAGTCGTCTTCCCGATGAAGACAATGATCGTATAGGCAATGAAGGAAGATACGACCCTCGGTTTGACTACTCACCAGGAAGCTTGGATGAAGTCCCATGGAAATCCATTGCTCTTGCACTTTTTCTCCTTTTTCTTGGATGTTGTCTTCTTCTTCTTTCAATCTTCATCTTCACAGGTCACATGGGAGGAGACAAATCCCAAGCATATGGCCTCTTAGGACTTGGTGCACTCACCTTCCTCCCAGGTACCCTACATTAATCATATATTATTAAGTATAGTGTTAAATACTTAAATTTTGAAGAATTCCTTATTTGTTGATGATGATGTTGATTCATTTGTTTTTTAGGGTTCTATGAGACTCGAATTGCGTATTATTCATGGAGGGGTGCACAAGGCTATCGGTTTGCATCCATCCCTGGTTATTAAAGGTTTATAGGTATACCCCTCCTTTTCCTTTTTTCTGGTTGTATATTCAGGGTGTAATATACATACAGCAACTTCCAGTTATGTAGTAGGTTTTGAGAATTGAGATTGCTTTTGTTCTGGAAATGAAAAACTTCTAATATAGAGAAAACTAATATAAAGAGACCTAGTACAGATTCTTTTCTTTCTTTGGATCACTTTGTTGGGTTTTGATCCAGGTGTTGAAGCCTTTTGCTTAGGAACCCATGTGTTCTTAAACTTCCTTTGATTGGGTTTGAAGTATGTGCTCTTAGACATTTGACTGGTCATAACAAGAATTTGAAAGAGCAATTCATCATCATATTTTCTATAGCACTCCAGCCATATAAGTCTTAATATCCTTTTGAACTTTTGTAAAACATGAAAGTGTTCCATTCATCGACAATGTCATTCTCACCGACAACACGAGGTAAATTAATGACCCACTCAATCGTCATTTTGAATCGACATCAATTTGAATGAAAAACTGAGATATTGACTTGATTCACTTCTAAATCATATCTAGATTTTAAATTTTGAAAATCGTAGTCTATCAACCAAAACATATCAAGAATAACTCTAACAGAAAAACTTCTTGAAGAAATCTGATTTGAAATTGCAATTCCAAACTTTGAATCAAGAGTAAATGTTGAAACGATGAAGAATAATAGTAAAAATCAAATCTCATGATGAAAATCAATTTAAATTGAACAAGAATATAGAAGTTAATTTGAAGATAACCAAATCTAATGAGAAAATGAAGAGAAATTTGCTAACTATTTTTATAAAAAAAAATGTTTTTTGCAAAATAGCCACTAAAATTGCAAATGACTATATTCCATTTGCTATTTAGCCGTTTCATCTGCTATTTAACAATTCTTATAAAATGAGCAATTTTTTGTATTTCACTTTGGGTTTTATTAGAAAAATCTTAAATTTTTTTGGAAAAAGTTTTAATTAGTCAGGGTTTTTATTAGAAAAGTCTAAACTTTTGGAAAAAGTTTTAAGAGTAATTTACACGAATGGTTCTTATGGTTTAGGGTAATTTGTATGTTTGGTCACTAATTTACACGAATGGTCCCTACCTTAAATTTGTTACGCGCTTGGTCCCTATCTTACCTAAAAAAGATTATTTTGCTATTGATTTTTTAATTTATTTAAATAAACACACCCTCAATCTCACCCCCTCACCTTACTTTACCTTCCTTATCATTTTTCTCCATTTAAATTATAGTACTTTTAGGTAAAACATGGATCAAACACGTAATAAAAACAAACAGTAGGGACCAAGCGTGTAACAAAAACAAACAGTAGGGACCTTTCGAGTTAAAAAAATAAGTTAGGGACCAAACATGCAAATTACACTAAACCATAGGAACCATTCGCTAAATTTTTGACAAAATTGCAAAAATGGTCCCTATGGTTTGTCAATTTGTTTGAGTAAGGTCCAAAAAAAATTATTAGTAAAAAAGGTCCCTATTTGGTGGTTTTGTTGTAGTTTTGGTCCCTACTTCTTTAAGTTTAACAACATAACTGTTAACTTTTGGCAAATGACGGATTTTCCCCTGGGACTATTTTTGCAGTTTTATGTTTTTACCAAACTACAAGGACCAATGATGCAAATTTTCTTTTTCGTTTTATTCAATTATTGTATATTAATTCTTTTAATTATTTTTTTTTAAAAAAACTTTTTTCTTATTGTATTATTTTTTAATTGGATTATTATATATTAATAAATATTATTTTTAATATATTATATTTATATATTAATAATTATTACTTTATTATTATTAATTTTTTTAATTTTTATTTTTGAATCTCTTCTTTATTGTACTAATTCTTTTTTATTGGATTATTGTATATTAAAAATATTATGTTCAACATATAGTATTTATCTATTAGTAAGTGTTATTTTATTGGATTATTAATTTCATTTAATTATTTTTTTTTTTAATTTTTTTATTGTGTTGATTCTTTTTATTAGATTATTAATTTAAATTTATTATTTTTTATTTATAATAAATAATATTTTTTAATTGTTTTTATTTTCTTTTAATTTCTTTCTTTATTGCTTTAAATAAAAATACCAAAAAAATCTCACCCATCCTACTTTTCCTAATTTATTTTAAACATTTGGAAGATAACATATTTTGGACATCACTACCACCATCACTCACTCATAACAACCACTATCGGGTTGTCTGCAACCCTGTTAATTTCAGTAATTATTCACAAAATGAGATCATCATGTGTATTTTAGTTTTTGTGTATCCACATGTATCTAAATTTGTTATATATTTAAATAAACTTATGATTTTGACATATATAATTTCCGTAAAAAATATTTCCACATGAAATACGCAAAAGTATTGCATCCCATCGTTGAAAATTAACCGGACAACCACCAATAACCTTCATCGATTGTTCGGTGGAAACCCCACCAACTTGTTACACCGAATGTCGCCAATAGCCACCTAAGACAACCTTATCACAATCCGTCGGAATCCTCTATATCTACCACTAAGTTAACCATATTCTGCGACAACCACCAGGAGGTCTGATCCAAACACTCCTAGTCAACTCCTCCATTCGTTGTTTTTTACCACATTGCGTTATCGTATTATCTCACTGTAAATCATCGATCATCGACTATAGTTGGCCATTCTCGACGAAAACTATACAGGTCGACCACCCACACAATGTGTAATAAATACCAGAAAACATACAACATCCAGCCTACCATTTATTACAGATACCGTCCTCAATGACAACAATGTTAGATCGAGGGTTTCCAAACCACCATAGCCACTATAGGTGGTGACAAAGTTATAGAACTCGTTATACGGTACTCGTTTGACTGACAGCCGAGTAGCGAATATTCGGATTCGGTAATTCATGTATGAATATTTTTAGGGAAATTATACATGTCAAAATCATAAGTTGATTAAATATATAACAAATTTAGATACATGTGAATATACAAAAACTAAAATATATAACCATATGGATCAATTTTACAATTTTATCAAAATAAATAAATAAATAAATAAAAGAATCAGATGTTTGTTTGTTTGTTTGTTTTTAAATAACAAGTGGTAGACTCGAACCGAAGTCTCACCTACAACAAAGCCAACTAAATACCAACTAATTTAATCTGATTTTAATCCTTCACTTCTGTATATATTTATTAAATACTGAAGCTTTTAAATTTAAAAAACAACGCAACAAATAAGAGACATTAAAATTAAAAAGTATTATGTATAACTATTATTTGCTGAAGTTTTAAATCCATTTATTATTATTATTATTATTATTATAAGCGAAAATTATTAAAAAAATAAATTCGTTTTCATCAATACTATTAAATAAATAAATATATAAATACATATTTATACGTAAAAAACATATAAATATAATAAATACATAAATAAAATGTATTCATATCTTTTTATACTTTAAAAAGAGTTTTTAAATTTTTTCCAATTAAATGTATTTATACATATTTTTTCCAATTTAACGTATTTATTTATGATATTTATAAATAAGATTACAAATACTTTTAATTGGAAAAACAAATTCAGTGTTATCTAAAACTTTTTTCATAATTCGTTTTTAAACTTTGTTTTTCTAATTAAACATATTTGTAATCTTATTCATAAATATTATAAATAAATACGTTTAATTGGAAAAATATGTCTAAATATGTTTAATTGAAAAAACAATGTTTAAAAACGCTTCTTAAACATATTTGTTATCTTATTCATAAATATTATAAATAAATACGTTTAATTGGAAAAATATGTCTAAATATGTTTAATTGAAAAAACAATGTTTAAAAACGCTTCTTAAAGTATAAAAAGATACAAAAACGTTTTCTTTATGTATTTATTACATATATATATATATATATATATATATATATATATATATATATATATATATATATATATTAAAAATGTATTTATATATTTATTTATTTAACAATAATGATAAAAATGATTTTTTTTAAAATAATTTTCACTTATAATAATAATAATAATAATAATAATAATAATAATTAATTTGAAAACTTCAGCAAATAATAGTTATATATGATACAAATAGAAGAAAATCATGTAATTCTTCCGATTGAATTGATAAAGAGCCTTGTTTGTCAAATAAGTGACTAGTGATTAAATCATCCTTTTTTACGGTTTTTAAAATTTAAAAACTTCGGTATTTGATAAATATATATAGGAGTGAAGGACTAAAATCAAATAAAACCTTTGGCTCAGTGTGAGTATGTACTCGGCTTTGTTCTATGGAGACGTATGTTCAATTCTCCCTCTCTACGTTTAAAAACAAATCCGATCTTTTTTTAATAGTCAGAAAGGAGTTGACGTGACATTCCATGCGTCAATAGGGGTTCCAAGGTGGAGTCTCACATCACCTGCTAAATGGGTTAAAAATGATTAAAGTATAAGAATTAGTCGGTTTCTTGGGTTTTTCGATTTTAAAAAAAATCAAGACTAAATTGAAACTTTTTTCTAAAAGTTTGAGACTTTTTTGATAAAAACTCATTTCTCTCCGGAAAATGGCAAATGGACTGTTTTCCATCTGTGATTTGCTCTCTTTCTATATACTATTTTAAGGTTTTTTTTTTTTTTTTTCATTTATTTTATTTTAAAAACTTACATTTAACTATGAAATTTGCAAGGTTGACTATAAATTCGTAATATATAGTATATTTTATATAAAAAGAAACAGCAATGCGTAGTTTATACGTTATTTTTTTTAGAAATTTTGTTTTAATTCTTCGAACTTGGGAGCTTGAGAACGTTTTTTCGAACTTGGGAGATGGAAAAATAAGGGTTTCCCAAAAAAAGGTATAAATACTAGCATTGGTTAAAATCGTAATTGTAAGTCTATCTATGAATGTACAAATCTTTTATGCACAAGTCATTCATTAATGACTTATACGGTAGACTTCCATTTGCGAGTTAGCCTCATATCCACCTATGATTTGGTTGGCTATTTTGCTTAATTGCCTAATTTTTTGCTATTTTTTGAAAAGTCGTTAACAAAAGTGACTATTTGCAAATTTCTCGAAAATGAATATGGCGCTAAAACAACTTTGTAAGCTTTTTTTTAAAAGTAAAACAAGTTTGGACTAAAATTGGGCTTTGAAACAAATGTTGGGTTTTAAATTTGACATTTATGAACATAACTTTGGAATTTGGATTGTGCTTTAAAGAATTGAGATATGGACACAAACTTTGGAATTTTCTGGTAGAAAATTGAAAAGTAACATGTAAACTTACAATTTTCATCCACCAAGATAAGATTTATGAAATAATCTGAAAACCACTCAAGATCATTGACTGGACAAGACATCGTTATAGTTGGATTGATCTTCCAATCTTCAAGTGTGATTCTGATGCTGAATGTGAATCACGAGATGAAATGTCGTTACATAATGAAGTTTTATATTGAGAGAGAGAGAGAGAGAGAGAGGGGGAGAGATC